TAAACCCTAAACCCATGAACCCTAGACCGGATGAGCGCCTTTCCAGGCGCGCCCGGACATCGTTGAGGTCGGCGAAGTCGGCCTTCCGGTGGCAGAGAGCTATTTTGGGGGGCCTTCAGAATAACAACAGGTTTAGGGTTTAGGGTTATTAAGAACAAGATTTCGAGACCTATCATAGAACAGCGATAGTAAGGAACCCTCAGGAATAATACTGGCACACTTGCAGGCTTCTATTTTTGTCGAGGCATGCATGGCCTGAAAACAGGGTTTAGGCGATAAGGCATCCAAGACCGAACCACCTTCTCTCCCAGGGACTTCTCCACCCAGTCTGCATTGGCCTCTTCGGCGAAAGATGGATTGGGAGCGGCAAGTCACGTGAGAAGGGTCGCGCTTCGCCAGCCTTTTTCGAGAACTCTGACTCCAGGGCTTCACGCTGGCCAATGAAGACCGACTCTGCCATGCCGTCCACATACCTCCGCCAAGTAAACACCTATGGTTAGTGAAACAACTCGATGGTAGATTCATCACAAGTCGTGAGTCCTATAGAGTCCGCTCATCATCTAAGTTCACTCAAGAAAGCGCAAGCTCAAGAGCGTGTGTCGCACTGTCTGAGGTCAGACAGCTTCTTCAGGACAGCATTGTACTCAGCCCAGTTCACCTTCTTCGTTATCGCTGCCTCGAGGCAAAGGCCATAGAGCTACGGTTCCAGGAAAACTGCGTGACTTGGGGGCATTGGGATGCTCTTGTTCGGGACAAAGTGCTCTCTTGTCTCAAAAATATCCAGATGAATCTGGACGTGCGCGCTGCTACCAACGGTTTCTGAATGCATACATACAGACATACATACCACACACCATGTACATGTGTGCGCATATGCAGATATACATGTAAAGAGAGAGCGAGAGCGAGAGAGAGAGAGAGAGAGAGAGAGAGAGGGAGAGGTGCCAACACCACACCTTCATCTTGGTCGATTCGTTTGTTCTGGCTGTGCGATTGAAGCTCATTTGATGGAGTTCAGGGTCCCCTGTTAGATACCTGAACTCCTACGCTCGAAGCCCAAAACCTGTGAATCCTAAACGGGTCTTTAGAATCTTAAACGGCCTAGCGGCCCTAGTTGGCCCTAGTCTCGAATTCTTAAACCCTGAACGCTTCTTAAGAACTCTTTAACCCTGAACCCTAGTCTCGAAATCTTGAAACCTGCCCTAAAACCTTTTAAAAAAAAACTAAAAACTTCGAACCTTACTTTAGAAATCTTAAAACTCTCAACCCTGTCTCAAATTTCAGCCTGCAGCTCGACTACATCCTCTCGCTTTGAAAACCTGGACAGGGTGCCCCCGGGAGCAAGGCGAGACGTCGGATGTGGTTTCATGCAGGCTTCATGCGGAATCTATCAGGGGTTGTGTCTGGGCTTTATAGGTCATTCTGGCGGCTTCAGATGCTGAAAAGATCTTTGGGATCTTTATTAAGGTCAGTCAGCTAGGGTCCCCTTTTCGCTGTAAGCTCGGACGTATGGTTTAGTTCAGAGTTTGGGGTTTGTCATTCGTTTGGTCAAAGGCCTCAGGGCTGCGGCGTGGCGCAACAGGAAATGGCCACCACTTCAGGAGTGCGTGGATTCTTGCGATGGGACAAAGCAACTGGTTACAAAGGCATCACAAAGCCGCTCTGAGCAAAAATTACACACCCCAAAGGCTCCGAGAGCCTGTCCGATATAATGTAAGAGCCTGATTTAGAAATCCTGGTCCTGCAACCCTCATATAGCAAGGCTCCTATAAAGAACCCGAATTTAAAGACCCAGGGCTTCTGAAATCAGGTTCCCATATTACCCGAAAACTATGCGCTCTCTGCGTGCCAAGTGGCATGCCCAGGCACTTCCTGTTGGAGTCTTGAAAGGCATCCTGTGCAGAATATGGGTGTTGAAAGGTTGTGATACAGGGCTTAGGGTTAGCAGTTAGCATAACCCGAAATCCTAAACCCTAAACCTAAGAGCCTAAGTACAAAATGGGGTGGGGGGGAGGTATTATACTGTACTAAGAATCTAGTAGAGTTACATAAAGGGCTCCAGGGGCCCACAGGGCCCAGATTCCGAAAACGCGTGGTTCGGCTATGCTTCCTTCACTCACCGAGTGATTTGAGAGCTTCGGGTGTGGAGGCTCGGGGGGTTGGGAGTCTCGGGCTTCTAGGGTTCTTAGGAAGGTTAGGGTTCAGGGGTCTAGGGTTTAGAGGTATTCGGTTTACGGTTTAGGGTAGAGTTCCTAGGAAGTTTAGGGTTTTGGGTTTAGGAAAGTTGGGTTTAGGTCTTAGGATTTAGGGTAGGGTTCTTAGGAAGTTTAGGGTTTAGGGATTAGGGGCATTGGGCTTAGGGCTTAGGATTCATTGTAGGGTTCTTAGGAAGTTTAGGGTTTAGGGTTTAGGGGTATTAGGTTTAGGGCTTCGGATTTAGGGTAGGGTTCTTAGGAAGTTTAGGGCTATACTACATGGCTGAGCCTTTCCTGTTGTCCAATAATGAGGTTCAGGGCTTGCCGACCCCCCCGTGCGGAGTCAAACATGAATAACAAAGCCGAAGAGCGTGAAATCACCGCAAGAGCCTTAAGCCTTTTGGGTTTCGGGTTTTGGGTTTTGGGGTTCAGGGTTTAGGGTTTCGGGTTTTGGGTTTAGGGTTTATTAAGAACCTGCTTAAAGGCTTAGGGCGGCTCCGTGCGCAGGGTCTCCTGCACCCCCCTCTCTTCGCAAGCCTCCTCCAAGCCTAAACCCGCAAACCCTCCAACACCCAGAGGCAACCTTGAACCCTAAACCCTAAACCCCTCAACCCTAAATCCTAAACCCTGAGACCCTAAAAAACCCTAAACCCCAAAAAGCCCTAGACCCTAAACTCTAAACCCCTCAATCCTAAACCCGGAGACCCTAAAAGCCAAACCCCAAACTGGGATGTCCGAGCCTAAAAACCCCGAAACCTGGCCGAAAACCTAATAAGGGTTTAGGGCTTAGGGTTTTGGGGATAATGATAGAAACCCTAAACCCAAACCTCAGGGAGACCCCAAACCCCACGCGAACCCTCTGAAAAAAAGTATAAAAACCTGGTCGAAAGCCGGAAAAAATACAAAAAGGCCATTCGTAGACAAACCGGTATACGGTTGAGGGTTTAGGGTTAGTACACCCTGTAGAACCCTATCACAACCCTCAGCCTTGATCCCCTAAAACCCCTAAAACCCCTAAGCCCTGAACCCTAAACCCTTAACCCTTAACCCTAAACCCTAAACCGTAAACCCTAAACCCTAAACCGTAAACCGTAAACCCTAAACCCAAAACACCTAAAGCCCTGAACCCGTCCACCTCGATGCGGTTCTCAAACTCCTGGAAGGCGAGGCCTAAAGCGCGGCGGAGGTCCACCTCCAGGCGCTTAGAGTCGTTGCGGCTAAATCGGTTTAGGGTTTAGGGTTGCCCCAAAGGCCTGCCCTCTGTGGAAAGTTTAGGGTATATAGGGCTCCAAAAAGGCTTCTATAAGGTATATAGACCTTGAAGGCTCCTATAACGGCAACTACCCACCTGAAAATGTCCTGCCCTCTAGAGAAGCTCAAGATGGAAGCCAAAATAATTACCACTAGTATATTTGGAGGGTTCCTTGTTGTCATCATAATATACTCTGCCCGGTGTGCCCCAAAATCCGTTCTAATTATCAAATAAGGCCCCTACGTTAAGCACAAGCCTAAAACCCGAACCCCCTGCAAGGCAGAAGGTGTAACTGGGACCCAGCACTTCAGGATCCAGACAGATTGGAGGTTGGGCGAAAAGATTTAAGGGAATTTCGTCCTCAAGGTCTAGGGTTTTTTTTTTTAAGCTCCTTTTTCCGCCTGCAAGTACAGTCGAAAGGCCTACGGGCCAGGAGGTGAGTAGCCCTGCCAGCCACCCTGCGGGTCCAGCGCCCTTACCAGCACCGACCGCCGATCAAAAGAAGCAACCCATCTCACTGATCACCCATGTCGCCCTCAAAACGTCGCCGCCAAACTCCAGACCCCGATGTGTTTCCCCCTTCGGCCTCTGCAGCTTCCAACGTAGCCTCCGGTATATGATGTTCCCCTTCGGGCACAATATCCGAGGAAGTCTGCAGGGACCCTTCCAGCTGTGTATCCGCCGGCAAGGCCAAGGCGCGAGCTGCCTGGACCATGGCCAACACCCCTGGGCCGTAAGCAGCTCGGACATAATCCTCATCAAAGTCGGTCGTAGCAGCCAGATCCCTCACCACCTGGAGATCAGTTTCGCCCTGTTCCACCAGAGGGCCTCCCACTCCCTCCGTGCTTGCCGGTTCTGCATCAAGCCCTGGAACTGGTGCGAGAGCTTGGGGGAGCAATCTGGTGTCGATGCCGTCTTGATCCACTTCATCCTCTGTCCATATGTGTAGGCGTAGATGGATGTGACCTTGATCATCAGCTGGGAGGCACACGACTCGTCTAGGCGCATCGCCACTTCCACTGCTGAGCTCAACCATAACAGCCCTCGACTTACGAGGTGGGCCTGCCGAGGAGGGTGTGTGTAGCCCCGCGAGGTAATCGATGATCGCCTCATCCCTGGTGTTCTGGCTCTCGTTCGGCTGTGGTGGTTGCCCTGACGAGTCAACTTCAATTGCACGATCGAGCTGGGATGCCGGGAGGTCGCCGTGGAGGTCTTGGATCGGAGAGTCGTAGAGGAGGTCAAGGGGGACCTCTTTCGGCGAAAGCATCACTGGGGCCCTGGTGGGCGGCAATCCCCGGGCTTGTCTTGAGCCAGGGTGTAGGGCCAGGTATGGCTGCAACCTCTGTGCCCAATCCATCCCATAGGCCACTTCTTCGTCCGTGCATGTTGCCCAATCCTGGTCGTTTTGATCCCCACTGAAGGTTGCGAGCACGGCTGTAAGTTCACCTGGACGGCCTCCTATGTGTCCGAGAAAGTAGCCTGCCATGGAGTTGGTACACCGGTGGCCAAGCCAGTCGAGCAACCATTCTGCCGCTCGCTGCTGTGTAATCTTAGTTTGCTTCTCCAAGTCAGCAATGAGTGTTTGGAGAAGCGGGTACCAATCATTCTCCATCGGCATTTGCATCCAGACAGAATGGTCGTCCTCGTCCTCTTCTTCAACCCTTACGGTTTCCATCTGGTCCCCTCGGCTGGCTGAGCTAGGTGGGCTTGCTGTCTGTATAGCTTCGCCCATCGCTGAGAGGAGCCCGAGCACGAGGCGGTGAAGAGCCAACATGAGGGTAAGCCGATCCGTCGTGTCGTGCCCGAGGAAGGTCTCGCCGATGTTTGCCATTGTTGCCTCCGGGAGCATAGACGGGCCAATCTCTTCATCTATGCTTCGGACTCCAAGGACAAGAAGCCAGGTATCCACGGCCATATCCAGTGTCATCGGAGCGACGGGAGTGTCAGCTTCGGGGCCTCGATGTGGTCGGTGAACTGGCGGCCTTGTTGCATTCCCCGGTGGCGCGTGGGCTG